GACAGGGATGAGGTGGGGGCGGGGCTTGGAGAGGTGGTGCCTGGGACTGGGAAGAGGGGGAGTGGGTGTGGCCTGGCAGTGACAAGGGGCGGGGCCTGATAGCATGGGGTGGGGCAGGTCCCTCCCTGGTGGGTGCCCAAACCCCATGGGCCACGGCGGCTGAGAGCCCTGACCGCGCGGTGGGCCTGGGTCTGTGCCCCCCGTAGCGCCAGCGTGTGCACCCAGGCCCATGGCAGGATTCGGGAAAATCAGGAATCAAGAAAAACTCTCTCACGAGGAGGGTGGTGAAGCACTGGGACAGGTTACCCAGAGAGGTGGTGCAGTCTCCATCCTTGGAGGTGTTTAAGACCCAGGTGGACAAAGCCCTGGCTGGGATGATGTAGTTGGGGCTGGTCCTGCTTGGAGCAAGGGTTGGACTAGATGTGACCCGCCCCCCCCGAGGTCCCTTCAACCCTCGTCTGCGATTCTCCGAAGGAGTTGGCAAGGCACTTTTGTAACCTTGTTATAGCACAGATAGGTTCGTGCATCTCGCTCGCAGTGAATAATGCCCCACATAAAGCCGAAGTGCACTGCGGCTGGTGTGAGCTGGGCTGCCGTGTTGGTATTCTGGGTGAATATCCAAGCGCTGGGCAGGCCAGGAGGTGTGAGCTCCCTTCTCTTCCTGTCCTTTCTCGAGCACCTTGGGATCCCATGTTCAGCTTCTCTCTGCTGCTCCTTGTTTCTCGAACTTCCCAAATGAAAAGAAGGGTTGAGGGCTCGCAGGGGCCGGGACTGATGTCTGACGGCATGCCCGTCGTCTAGCAATGGTCAACAAGTGGGTGTCCTATAAAAGACCCATGTTACGAAATGCCTAATGCAGCAGCTCCATATGCGTAGCGTCTGTCTAAAGGGGTTTTGGGTTTGTTTCCACAGGTTGCAATGTAGTTATTGCCTCTCGCAAACTGGACAGATTAAAAGCTGCTGCCAAAGAGCTGACTGATCAAAACTCTTCCCCAAATCCAGCCCAAGTGACCCCCATGCAGTGCAACATCCGCAAAGAGGAGGAGGTAAAGTACAGTAAACTCGCCGTCCCGCTTCAAATGTCCAAGGAGGACTGGTGCTCGGTCCTCGGAGGGTCTTTTTAAGACGCACCTCCCTCTGAGGAAGGTCACCGCAGGCGGGTGCATTGTCGCATTTCTGAAACAGACGGTTTCGATGCAATGACCGAAGGCAGGTGGGGCTGAAACAGCCATTTCCCGGAGATTGTCTGTCACTGCAGGATAGGATTGCATTGGATGTCCCTGCCTGATGCCCATGGGTGGGTTCTGCTTGGTGCTCCAGAAGAGCGTGGGGGCATAAAGTCACGGGATAAAATTCTGGACCTTTCAGTTCATTTCTGGGTCCGAAGCTCGGTATTTAAACCTCCAGCCTTGCTTACACCCTCTGTGAGGCTGGAGTAAAACTGGGATGACACAAAGCTATGGGGAGAAGTGGACACGCCGGAGGGCAGGGAACAGCTGCAAGCAGACCTGGACAGGTTGGACAAGTGGGCAGAAAACAACAGAATGCAGTTCAACAAGGAGAAATGCAAAGTGCTGGACCTAGGGAGGAAAAATGTCCAGCACACCTACTGCCTAGGGAATGACCTGCTGGGGGGCACGGAAGTGGAAAGGGATCTGGAGTCCTAGTGGACTCCAACATGAACATGAGTCGGCAGTGTGACGAAGCCATCAGAAAAGCTAATGGTACTTTATCGTGCATCAGCAGATGCATGACGAATAGGTCCAAGGAGGTGATACTTCCCCTCTATCGGGCGCTGGTCAGACCGCAGTTGGAGTACTGCGTGCAATTCTGGGCGCCGCACTTCAAGAGGGATACGGATAACCTGGAGAGGGTCCAGAGAAGGGCCACTCGTATGATTAAGGGCTTGCAGGCCAAGCCCTACGAGGAGAGACTAGAGAAACTGGATCTATTCAGCCTCCGCAAGAGAAGGTTGAGAGGCGACCTTGTGGCTGCCTATAAGGTCATCCCGGGGGGACA